CTATGATTGGCAGAAGAACTATCAAATAATGAGTTGAAAGGGTTTTGAGGACACCTCACAGTAGAAAAGAGGTCTCGTATTCTGAGTGTGACAAAGTTTACGAAATGTTGCCTTAAAGCCGTTCGATCACTGCCCTTTAGGCCTACATTGTATCATAATTGTTAGATTGACCTAATCTACTATATTTTAGACCAAAAAATGCTAATTGGGCAGCTATGGTAAACAATGTCACAAAAATGTGACATTTTTTACATAATAGTGCCTAAAAGCAATACATTTTATTTTTGAGCAGTGCATATGGGAGTATGGGTCACGTGGCTAATGTTCAGAACTTATGAACACGCTAGATTAATATATGTTAAAATTAGACCACTATCGTTAAAAACGCTGTTTTGGAAATTTACCAATTTCCTCAAACTTCAATGAACGTGTCCATATATATATATAATATGTATAGACGCTTTTGCAGTAAATTGTAGCCTACATTTAAGTGTCCGTAGATTCAAAAGTATAAAAGATACAGTCATTTCGAACCACAGGTTTTAAAGATAATTGTTTATACTTTAGTTTACATTATATCGAAAAATAATTTATCGTCATCATCATCACTTGATGACGTCATCAATTTAAATGTTTTTAAAACTTGATTTTTGACAAAATAACAACTTTTTAAATCGATTTTAAAGCATTAAGGAGTAATTTTATTCAAAATCTGAGGACATTTTCATCTTAGATAATTGTTCAAGCATTCTGAAAATCTACCGGAAAGTTTTCCTACCTTGCTCCTTCATAAAGATATTCGCTATTGAAGTTTGTGCTTTTTTGAAGAATAATTTTATAAAAACACAAAAGTTGTGAATTAGTATTCTCTGGTGTTGGGCCATCCCTTGGGTTGTGGAGCTCAATTTTGCTTCCTAAAGGTCTAAATTGTGTTATAGGCTAGTTTTAAAGTTGAAAATCGAAAAGTTGCACACGTGGGGACACGCCCAAATTCATTTAAAATAGCTAAAATCACTAAAAATTGTTATTTTCACGATTTTTACCAACTTTGGAGTCCTGTTGTGATCCAAGTTCTTTTTGAAATCTTCTGAAACTTTTCATGCTTATCAAACTATATATTAAATAACACTATGCAAAAATTTATGGTGATTCAATATTTTATGCGCACGCAACGTCCGCTCAAAGTTTGCACGTGCGAAAGGTGAGAATTGTGCTCATTCGTGATTTCGAATATATTCTGCTTTCCCACGATATTAAAATGGCATTATATATGAATTTAATGCCAACTTGGATGAGTAAAAAGTGCTATATTCAGTCTGTTATTGACAGATATGCCTACCTAAACACAAGGAAACGTTTTCAAAGGTAAAATTTCGAAATCGTTGAAATTACCTCCTTATTAAGTTTCGACTGTGTAAATTATCCTGACATTATAATCAAAAAGAGATGATATTTGACCAAAACCCATAATCATGGGTAGAGTGAACCGCTGCCAGTGTCTCTCTTTTCCAAACAAAAGAAAATGATATTAATTTGAGGAACCGTCCGCAAATGCTAATTGATACCGAGAATGAAATCGGTCGCTCGCTTTTCCCATTCATTCACGGCTTACGTATTGTAATAAAGCTTATTGAATGGGAAAAGCGAGCGACCGATTTCATTCTCGGTATCAATTTGCATTTGCGGACGGTTCCTCAAATTAATATCATTTTCTTTTGTTTGGAAAAGAGAGACACTGGCAGCGGTTCACTCTACCCATGATTATGGGTTTTGGTCAAATATATATATATAGTATTTGACCAAAACCCATAATCATGGGTAGAGTGGACCGCTGCCAGTGTCTCTCTTTCCCAAACAAAAGGAAATGATATTAATTTGACTGACCGTTCTCAAATGCAAATTCATACCGAGAATGAAATCGGTCGCTCGCTTTTCCTATATTCAATAAGCTTTATTACAATTCGTAAGCCGTGAATGAATGGGAAAAGCGAGCGACCGATTTCATTCTCGGTATGAATTTGCATTTGAGAACGGTCAGTCAAATTAATATCATTTCCTTTTGTTTGGGAAAGAGAGACACTGGCAGCGGTCCACTCTACCCATGATTATGGGTTTTGGTCAAATATGGGAAATGCAAATTATACGAAAATATTCGTAAAAAGCTGTGCACACTAAAAGATTTCTACCTTACCGGACTTTATAATTATATTTGAACAGACATTAATTGGACCGGACGCTGGAAGTGAAGGTTCTAGCTTTCATTTTAAATAAAGTCTGTCCAAGTCAACAATTTTTCCCAAAAGAATTTTAATTTTGGTCAATTTCATAGTTGTACAACTAGCTCGTACCTGTGTACCAGGTGAAAAGAGATGTTTACTGCTAAACATGAGAGATACTCGAATCTAACCTGTCGAGTTTTATTACTAATTGTTTTTCTTGGGTGAACTTAATATTATTTGTCTACTTGAACTGAATTGTGAATTGTAAATCATTTTATTATTTTACGCATACCACATATTCCAAAATTGTTATTGCTTAACGATCGTTTAAACGATCGTTTTTTTGCTGTATTAGAAATTGATAAAAGAATTATTTGCTAAAGCATTAAAATGACGGAAAAACGCCAAAAAAGATGAAACAATTTCGGATTTTGAATGGTTTTAAAAATTATGTCCGTTGACGCAATGTTCGGTCAAGTAACATTCTGTCTAGGCATGTTCTGTAAAACCGTAAGGAATTGAATAAAAATTAAAGAATTATAAGGAATGCCAGATTTGGAAACAAAACTCAACAGTAAAGCACTAACCGTTGTTTTGTAAAAACCCAAAATCATCATGTCAGGATTCAGGAGGATTTTTATATAGGTCGGCGCGGGCTACTTCGTAGCACTTGCTTCGGGCGCCATAATATTTTGAGAAAAAAGCAGCGCACGCTACTTCTATTCGAAGAAATTTAGACCAGTAACATCCGTCAAGAGGATTCCAAAGATTCCCAAATAACAAATAAGTTTCTCCGCCTTCTGAATATTCTCATTGCCTTATCCAAACATTTTAATAATTGACAAATTTATGGGGAATCGGTCACGAGGGCGGAAGTCGCGAGGACGGAGGTCGCTAGGACGGAAGACCCAAGTTTATCCAATTTTGATAAACTTAAAGCTTTATATTTGTGCTCGTGCTCAGGATATTAGTAGCTACACTGTACACGTTAAGCACCCCAAAGCAAATCAGGGTGAAATCCCCTTAAAAGTACCCTCTAAAAAACGGATCGCATAATCTCATGAGTACAAACTAAACCGCAAAAAGAGTCTTCAGGCGAAGATTCAAACAAAAGGAGCTACTTCAGTTTTGCTGTTACTGTTGGAGTAAAAAAGATTATTACTGATAGTTTTGAGTGTGCTACTAATACTATATAAGAGGTTGATTTAAGATTTTAGAGGAAGGGAGCTGAAGAAGCTGGCGAGGGAAAATTGGGAGGAAGCCCACTGTTTTAGGTGGATCTACCTGTTGGAGTGGAAGTTGGAGTATGGTAATACTCCAACTTATGATTTTATGGTATTCCTGGTGCGGTGCAACTACATTGTAGCTGTAGGGAAATTGATCGTGCGACGTGCATGGTGTAACCGCGGCGAAATTTAGACTCGTGCGACGTGCTAATAATAATATTCGCAGGTTATTTTACTTAATTGGTCGATGAAGCAGTAAAATAAGAATTTAACTCGGTTACCGGACTTATTAGTAGAGGCTCTTACGGGCAAAAAGACGTGTTTTCTGCTACGAGTTTAGAGACCTAACCGCTAATTGGACACAATAGTATGATGTCTAAGAATCGATAATATGTTAAGAAGTATAAATTTGGCCTTATTAGTCACGTGCTATACCAATGCGCGTTTTAAACCTTGACAGTCTATTACTTTAATACTTTCAACACTACTATATAACAAATAATTTGAGCCTGAAGATGGCGTTGACGCCGAAAATTTGCCCTTACTCCTAACTTCCTTGTTTCACTTGTCCTTGTCTCTTCCAACCGGATAATATCCAGATATCAGTATTTCAATCATGAGACTAATAAACAGCGAACTACTCCGTTATTTGATATCTATTACTCTAAGGCAAATACAGTAATTATACTCATATTTTGTCAGCAATAAGATTACATTGTTTTCTATTTGGTGTGAAAATATGAGCTAGAACGGACATAATCTCGCTGAGTTATAGCTGTTTAAAATTTATGATGAACGCGCGGATGCCAATTGATAACAACTAAATGCTTTTGCGCGTAGTGCGCGTCGAAAATTTGGCAAAAACGCTTGCGGAGTGACAATATTCAAACTTCGATAAAGTATATGAAGTGGGTACTTCTCGGAAAGGAAAAATTTAGGCAAACACGATGTGACTATTTTTGGGTTGATTTAATACAACTGCAAAAAATTATTCAAACTTCAAGCAAAAAAGTCAAAATTTTTACCACTTTTTTGGATTTTTACCCCCAAAAAAATAGAGGGATTTTTCAAATTTTTAAACCATCTTGTGCGGCTGTGTTTTAGCTATCTCCATGCAAGTTTTGCCGACATGCCAACAAAATTAACTTGTTCAAAATATCAAAAAACATGGTTTTTTGGCCTATTTTTTGCCCAAAAATTGGTTTTTTTGCGATTCTACCCCCAAAAAGTCAGTCCAATCATCTTAAAACCACTTTTAATCGATTCTACGGTCAAAAATACGTCTAGTAAGGTGTGTCTGGGGCGGGGTCCCTAGCGTATCGAGCAGACAATGCCCGTAAGAGCCTCTACTATATTGATAACATGCATCATCCTGATTTATCAATGTATCAATGAGTGTTTTATTATAAATTAAGGCACACATATCAGATTTAAAATAAGATCTGGCGCTAATTTCATCACTTAAAATTTAAGTTGAATTCAAATGTTCTATGATCAATTGTTAAACATTATTTGATCTCCCTAATCTTATTTACAGAAAATGAAAATACTCCAGATAAAAGAACTGAACATTTCTCTCACATTGTATCAGTATGAGTAAATGGTATCGGATAAATGTTTGACAATCATCCTCTTTCATTTTTAGGAAACAACAAATTTCGAGCTGATCCCCACTCAAATTGTTGCTTTTCAAAAATAAATTAAAACGTATGACCTGCAGTCCAGCACTCTCGTTTGGAGGAAGGTCCTCAGAACGCGACTCTCGAATTGTCGATGATATCGCTTGAGAGGTTCTGAGATTGTCTGTGCGAGGAGATAAGGGGCTGGATGCCGTGCTGAAAGGGGGGCGGAACCCCCGAGTAGGCGGGCTGGTAAGTTGGGGGCACGGGAGTGAGGTGCGAGTTGCCCCAGATGGGGGTGGTCGGGGTCCATCCTACTACTGGAGGGTTGGAGGAGGCCCACTTGTCCTCCAGCCACGAGCTGCTTCCTGGAAAAACACCATGTTACATTAACTGTTTATCTAGTGGACTCAATTATCCTTTTAGCCAAGAAAATGGCAGATGATTCAGACGATAACAATTCAAACAAACCTCTTGAGTGAGGGGTAGGTTGGTTGGGGGGAGGGGCGGGAGGAGGGAGAGAGGGTGAAGGAGGAGGGAGGGAGTTACTAGGGTGAGATGGGATGGAGGACGACCCAGAGTGGGTGTTGTAGAAGTAGGAGGAGCACTGTTCTCTTGCGTTGTAATGAATGTTCCTCCCACCTGATCCCGTTACACCTGCGTTACCATAGCAACACGACGCACTGAAAAAAAATTATTTAGGGAATCTGTATTTTTTACAGGAGGCAAATATCAAGTCAAGATAAAACAGCGTTTCGAGCTTTTTCATAAAGCTCAAACGCAGTTTTAAAAAGAGATCTGACTGTAACAAACACTCATTCGGACCCTAATTATAAGCTATGCGTGAACTAACTTTTGAGAGGTGGCAGGGATTGAGGAAGGGCTTTGTCCCAGGATAGAACTCAGGTGAGGGTGTTGTCTTCCACTATTTGTCAGCACTGTAGGGAAAATACCAACTAGAGTTTTACAAGATAGGTTTGTAACTCTAAATTGTATTTATCAAGGTTTCACAGAAAAATCAGAACACATTCTTAAAAGCACGTTAAAAGCGGCACATTACCAGTGAGGAGAGAGTCAGGAGTTTCTCTGGTAGGGAAGGAGCAGCTGATCGGGTTGAGCTCTATTCCTGGAGATGTAAGGTTCAATGCTGGACTGGAGTGATTCATAACGTGAGCTGAGGACACCATCTGCGCTTCAGGGGTCACGTGAGAGCTGCTTGAAGTCATTAGGGACTGAGGTGACGTTACATGTGGCGCTGGTGACGTCATCATCGAGGCTGGTGACGTCATCATTGAGGCTGGTGACGTCATCATTGAGGCTGGTGACGTCATCATAGTGTTAGGGGACGTCATAAGGTTGGGGAGGAGAGGAGAGGTGGGTGCCGTGCTTTGTGGAGATATGGAGGAAGGGTGAAGCTGATCTGGTGACAAGCTTGAACTCGGCGAGTGCACTGAAAGAAGTCAATTTATCACATTATTTTTGTAGTATTATGCTTTAATCTCCCGAAAAGACGCGAAAAAGATTGCATTTTCAATATTTTTCAGCTCAATTGTTGACCCCCATGTTTGAAGATGTGAACAGTAGAGAAAATGTCAACAACAAAATATGATACTTATATAATTATAAGATAATAGAAAATCTTAGCAAAATATGGGCACTTACTCTTTCCAAATGATGATCCCGTTGGACTACTATCCATCTGAAAAATTTAAATTATTTATGTGTAATTCATTAATTAATTAAGTAGTGTAACTTCAGAAGAACTGTAAATTTTAACTTATACTTGCGTAAATTGAATATGCAAACAAACACGAACAGATAACTGAAAGTTTCTGGGCAATATCCAAGAATATCCAACAATCCGTTTGATCCATTGCTGAGTGCGCAGTAACTAATCACACTCAGACCTCTAAGAATAGCTCGAGACACCAACCCCCAGCGTTGTTTCACGCCTCACTTGAGTCATCAACCCCTCATGAGGCATGGTCCACTGGTCTAGGTCATTGAGCTCTTCTCGTCCTCAACAGATACATGGTCCAGTACCCCAGGTCATTGCCAGCGGAGTAACGCTATCTAGTGACACCCCATCATTCGTCAATTAGAGGCACTGATCTGCAGCCTGCTGTCTCGGTGCATGCTCCGACCAGCGGAGGAGGAGGAGGTGGTGGTCATTGGCCCAGTTACGGTCGCTGAGCCGCCTAATAAAGTATTTGGTACGGTTGGGTAGGCACTGCAGGTCATGTGTATTCTGTGATACGCTTGAGCAGCCTGCAGGGGGATCTGGGGCCGTGACACGGTCTGATGGAAACAGGGTCAGCTCTCCTCCTCCTCACTTCCTAGCTCACTCTCCCTCTTCCGTTGTGTAGCTTCTCCAAACCGCACCGATACCTCTCATATCGGGCGATTTGTCTCTGGCGAGTAGGCGGTTTCTTGTGAGTCCACCGCCTAAAGTCCTGGAAATGGATCAGTGAACTTTACCTTTCTGCTTGACTGCGCTGACTAAATGTTACTTCCAGTGATTGCATCCTTTGGGCTGAGCATTGCCACCGACAGTAACTTTTCTTTCTCATCTTTTTAGTGAACAAATCATGGCGGGTATTATCTTTGATTCGAGCAGTTAGTCATAAACTCACGGGAAGGGGTTACCCTCGGTTTTCTTAATGTCAATTTGATTGACAGGTTGTTCTACCAACTCGTTACGTGACGTTCATCTTTATTGGTCTAATACTTCTCAGCTTCCCTTACAGTGTTTTGTTGCTTCAAACTTTTTTCTTCAAGAGCATTGCCAAATTTACCAGTTTCAATTTGTCACTAAGTTTCCAACTTTTTTGTAAGTTTGATCGAGTGATTTATTGATTTGTGTAAGTGTAGATATCTAATTTCATGCTTCAACATTCTCAAAGTAATTCCTTATATGTTAGAATTTCTATTTATTTTAGTTTATATTTATATAAACTGCTTTATAAATCAGTTTTGACAAAACGCTCAAGATAACTTCCGCTTCATTTGATCTAGAGATAGTTACTGTGTTATATCCGTGAAGCCTGTTACTTCCAGCTGATGTTAGCACTCATTATACTTCATAAACACCAATCAGCTGATGTTAGCACTGATTATACTTCATAAACACCAATCAGCAGCCGAACATTAGAACAGAGCAACGTTGTCAGTAATTAGTTACCCAGGTAGCTGCAGTTAAGTAACCAAGTGAAATGTAGTAAGTAGCTAGATACAACTAGTAGCTAGATATAGCCACTTATATAGCTGGCTTATCCTCTGGTATGTAACCTACCCTTTACATATCTTTACATCACGGGGCAGCCTTGACTTCTAGTTAAGTGCATATGTCTGGCAATTATCAGCGAGCAAAGTCCCGATCCTGAAACCTTATCTGTTCCTTAGAGCCGCTACTTAAAGGCCACGTGACCCGGAACGTGACTCGTGACGTCACGCTGGCTCCATTCTGGGCCCGGCCAAAACTCATCTCACTATCTAGAGCTACATAAATATATTCCCAATACCATGCCTATATTACCGATATTATTTACGCTGAAACCACCAAGGTAGCGAACATCAAAACGGTTTTAAATCTATGTATGCTAAGATTTCTGGTCGGGCAGCTATATCGGTAAGGATGTAAAACAGCTATATCAGTCCTAGACTGCCAGGCAGCTATATCAACGTCAGGCTGCAAGACAGCTATATCTGCCAGGCTGCCACTATAAGCTTATAAGTATTATTACACTGCATCCGACATCCTGAGCTACTTGCCAGTGATTTAGTCTTATGGGAACCTACGCACGGTAGAGCACAGCAAGGCCGACCAAGACAAAGCTACTTGTCTATGTTACTGAAGGAAGTTGGGACAAAATCTAAAGAGGAACTGCGAACCCTGATGCGGGACAGGGATATATGGAGGGGGTTATCTGGCGTAGATCGGACTTAGTTCCGACATAGTAGTAGTAGTAGTAGTATTATAACTTACCTTTACACGGTTGTAAGGATCTGACTCTGATCTGTTGTAAGAGTAAACACAGCCCCCGACACTCCTGTGTCTGCGTGGTCGCTTCCTCACTTCTGTAATGGTACTGCTTTATAACCTCATAACTAATTTTTTTAAAAGGGGGGACCCCCAACCCATGTATAGCTGAGACACATCACAGCAAGTAGACCAAAGTGGCTCTTGCTTGTGAAAGGTGTATCAACTACCCGCCGAAGCGGTGGGTTGGGAGTTACCGGTACGCTAGCGTACCGGGAAACAGGATTTAATAAAATACTTTTGAAAGGTAAGACCCCGTTATCAAAGTAGAAATTAAGCCACCCGGATATGTAAGATTATCTTGGTTTAAATTTGTGTTGTAATGTTTCCGAACTGTAAAAACACGCCCCATACTTTAGGGTTTGGTGATGTTTACCTGTTGCTAAGAAAAGGTTGGGTGATGTTTACCTGTTGCTAAGAAAGGGTGGGGTGATGTTTACCTGTTGCTAAGAAAGGGTGGGGTGATGTTTACCTGTTGCTAAGAAAGGGTTGGGTGATGTTTACCTGTTGCTAAGAAAGGGTTTGGTGATGTTTACCTGTTGCTAAGAAAGGGTTGGGTGATGTTTACCTGTTGCTAAGAAAGGGTTTGGTGATGTTTACCTGTTGCTAAGAAAGGGTTGGGTGATGTTTACCTGTTGCTAAGAAAGGGTTGAAATCAGTGGCTCTGTTGAAGTTAGTAGGAACCTGTCCCATTATGTTTGGGGGTATCGTGAAGGACTGTTGTGGACACTCCTGAGGGTTCCAACCGTTAGGTTTATATTCAGCTAAATAAGAATATAAAATGTATAGGGTATTTGACCAAAACCCATAATCATGGGTAGAGTGTACCGCTGCCAGTGTCTCTCTTTTCCAAACAAAAGGAAATGATATTAATTTGAGGAACAGTCCGCTAATGCAAATTGATACCGAGAATGAAATCGGTCGCTCGCTTTTTCAAATCAATAAGCTTTATTACAATTCGTAAGCCGTGATCGAATGGAAAAAGCGAGCGACCGATTTCATTCTCGGTATCAATTTGCATTAGCGGACTGTTCCTCAAATTAATATCATTTCCTTTTGTTTGGAAAAGAGAGACACTGGCAGCGGTACACTCTACCCATGATTATGGGTTTTGGTCAAATATCATCTCTTTTTGATTATAATGTCAGGATAATTTACACAGCTAGTCGAAACTTCATTAACAAGGAGGTAATTTCGACGATTTCGAAATTCTGCCTTTGAAAACGTTTCCTTGTGTTTAGTTAGGTATTTCTGTCGATAACCGACTGAATATGGCACTTTTTACTCATTCAAGTTGGCATTAAATTCATATATAATGCCATTTAAATATCGTGGAAAGCAGAATATATTCGAAATCACGAATGAGCAAATTTCTCACCTTTCGCACGTGCAAACTTTGAGCGGACGTCGCGTGCGCATACAATATTGAATCACCGTAAATTTTTGCATAGTGGTATTTAATATATAGTTTGATAAGCATGCAAAGTTTCAGAAGATTTCAAAAAGAACTTGGATCACAGCGGGACTCCAAAGTTGATAAAAATCGTGAAAATCAAAATTTTTAGCGATTTTAGCGATTTTAAATGAATTTGGGCGTGTCCCCACGTGTGCAACTTTTCGATTTTTAACTTTAAAACTAGCCTATAACACAATTTACACCTTTAAGAAGCAAAATTGAGCTCCACAACCCAAGGGATGGCCCAACACCAGAGAATACTAATTCACAACTTTTGTGTTTTTATAAAATTATTCTTCAAAAAAGCACTAACTTCAATAGCAAATATCTTTATGAAGGAGCAAGGTAGGAAACTATTCCGGTAGATTTTCGGAATGCTTGAACAATTATCTAAGATAAAAATGTCCTCAGATTTTGAATAAAATTACTCCTTAATAGTGTAAAATCGATTTAAAAAGTTGTTACTTTGTCAAAAGTCAAGTTTTAAAAACACTTAACTTGATGACGTCATCAAGTGATGATGATGACGTTAAATTATTTTTCAATACAATGTAAACTAAAGCTTAAACAATTATCTTTAAAACCTGTGGTTCGAAATGACTGTATCGTTTATACTTTTGAATCTACGGACACTTAAATGTAGGCTACAATTGACTGCAAAAAGCGTCTATACATACATATATATCTTCACGACAATCTGTTGTAAAACAGGGGTTCCAGAAAACCCACTTCCCGATACTCCTGAAACATGACATTTTTTTTACAGTCGATTTGGACAAGGTCTAGACGCCCTGCAAAGTTTCAGATCTCTAACTCAATTTTAACATGGTTTTTAAGGCACCTGAATATGGCGATTTTGGGTTTTTTACCTAATTTCGTATAACATGCTGGCGCGTATTTTGCGCAAATTTCTTAAAAACCTCCATACAACTATTTCTTATTCCTGTCATCTTCAACATTGAATTAGAATGTTTTGAACTTAAATGTACCTGCTGAACTACTTTCGATGAGTCTTAATGCCTGGAAAACAATAAAGGGGATATAATCGTATAGGGGGTAAATAGTGTTGTGAATATAAGGGCGACGGTAATGCTTGCCAGCATTGTGATATGTTAATATGTTTGTCGATAACACAGAATTAACGTTCTATTCCTACATAATACATAGTTAACTCACACAGCCCCAATTAGAATTGTATTCATGAAACTCCCTTAATTCCCGGACCATACAATTCCTGGTAAGTTCAGGTTATGCTTAGAATTATTAATGAAAATGGCCCAGAGGTCGGACCTCCGTAAACAATCTCACCTCCGGCTCAGCTTTAAGCTTGAGATCAGGTATTTCAGTTTTAGGTCGGACAGTCTCCGTTACTTTGTTCCGTAGGATTCGGTTGATCGTACTAGCACTTGGCACCTGTATCAGGAAACAAATGTTAATATCTCAGTAATGAAATGTATGGTGACATGTTGGTTCCGTAACGGCCTCGTGTCTAGTAATCAAATTCGATCAAAGGAGTTTTTAATTGCAATAATTCTTCCCCTAATTTAGCAGTCAAAGAATAATTCTTTGACTATCGGAATTAAACTAATCTATAAAAGTTTATAAACGAAAATAAATATATTCTACTTATGATTAACCCCCGGATCGATTCTGCTTATTTGGTTCACAGGTTTTTCCTAGACTTTTTGTTCGAACTTTAGCTTTCTGTTCAAGATTTTTTGTTATCTTAGAATTAATTCCGCATTTATATTATTCCCACTCTCGACTCCTTGCTAGCAGTCCGGTTAATTTAGTACCTCTAGGTAACTTCTCATTTAATCACGAGGACTTATTAAAGAACATCTCACCCTCTAAGATTTTCACCGCTTCGTTCATTTTATAGATTTATTCTTTTTCTATTTTTACTACACTTACTAACACGTGCATATTACGAAGGAGTAGATAAGATGCCTCCGCAGGCATTTTAGAACGTTTTATATTTTATCACTTCATGCACGGCTGCCATTCTGCTTATTTGGTTCACAGGTTTTTCCTAGACTTTTTGTTCGAACTTTAGCTTTCTGTACAAGATTTTTTGTTATCTTAGAATTAATTCCGCATTTATATTATTCCCACTCTCGACTCCTTGCTAGCAGTCCGGTTAATTTAGTACCTCTAGGTAACTTCTCATTTAATCATGAGGACTTATTAAAGAACATCTCACCCTCTAAGATTTTCACCGCTTCGTTCATTTTATAGATTTATTCTTTTTCTATTTTTACTACACTTACTAACACGTGCATATTACGAAGGAGTAGATAAGATGCCTCCGCAGGCATTTTAGAACGTTTTATATTTTATCACTTCATGCACGGCTGCCATTCTGCTTATTTGGTTCACAGGTTTTTCCTAGACTTTTTGTTCGAACTTTAGCTTTCTGTACAAGATTTTTTGTTATCTTAGAATTAATTCCGCATTTATATTATTCCCACTCTCGACTCCTTGCTAGCAGTCCGGTTAATTTAGTACCTCTAGGTAACTTCTCATTTAATCATGAGGACTTATTAAAGAACATCTCACCCTCTAAGATTTTCACCGCTTCGTTCATTTTATAGATTTATTCTTTTTCTATTTTTACTACACTTACTAACACGTGCATATTACGAAGGAGTAGATAAGATGCCTCCGCAGGCATTTTAGAACGTTTTATATTTTATCACTTCATGCACGGCTGCCATTCTGCTTATTTGGTTCACAGGTTTTTCCTAGACTTTTTGTTCGAACTTTAGCTTTCTGTACAAGATTTTTTGTTATCTTAGAATTAATTCCGCATTTATATTATTCCCACTCTCGACTCCTTGCTAGCAGTCCGGTTAATTTAGTACCTCTAGGTAACTTCTCATTTAATCATGAGGACTTATTAAAGAACATCTCACCCTCTAAGATTTTCACCGCTTCGTTCATTTTATAGATTTATTCTTTTTCTATTTTTACTACACTTACTAACACGTGCATATTACGAAGGAGTAGATAAGATGCCTCCGCAGGCATTTTAGAACGTTTTATATTTTATCACTTCATGCACGGCTGCCATTCTGCTTATTTGGTTCACAGGTTTTTCCTAGACTTTTTGTTCGAACTTTAGCTTTCTGTACAAGATTTTTTGTTATCTTAGAATTAATTCCGCATTTATATTATTCCCACTCTCGACTCCTTGCTAGCAGTCCGGTTAATTTAGTACCTCTAGGTAACTTCTCATTTAATCACGAGGACTTATTAAAGAACATCTCACCCTCTAAGATTTTCACCGCTTCGTTCATTTTATAGATTTATTCTTTTTCTATTTTTACTACACTTACTAACACGTGCATATTACGAAGGAGTAGATAAGATGCCTCCGCAGGCATTTTAGAACGTTTTATATTTTATCACTTCATGCACGGCTGCCATTCTGCTTATTTGGTTCACAGGTTTTTCCTAGACTTTTTGTTCGAACTTTAGCTTTCTGTACAAGATTTTTTGTTATCTTAGAATTAATTCCGCATTTATATTATTCCCACTCTCGACTCCTTGCTAGCAGTCCGGTTAATTTAGTACCTCTAGGTAACTTCTCATTTAATCATGAGGACTTATTAAAGAACATCTCACCCTCTAAGATTTTCACCGCTTCGTTCATTTTATAGATTTATTCTTTTTCTATTTTTACTACACTTACTAACACGTGCATATTACGAAGGAGTAGATAAGATGCCTCCGCAGGCATTTTAGAACGTTTTATATTTTATCACTTCATGCACGGCTGCCATTCTGCTTATTTGGTTCACAGGTTTTTCCTAGACTTTTTGTTCGAACTTTAGCTTTCTGTACAAGATTTTTTGTTATCTTAGAATTAATTCCGCATTTATATTATTCCCACTCTCGACTCCTTGCTAGCAGTCCGGTTAATTTAGTACCTCTAGGTAACTTCTCATTTAATCATGAGGACTTATTAAAGAACATCTCACCCTCTAAGAAAAACTCCGTTTGAAGATATTTTGTATTATTATCTATGTCATAAATTTTCCTTGTGTTTGAATTCTGTCACTTTTTAACTGTTTCTAGTATTTGTTATTTTCGGCCGATTTCTGCACTTTTTCACTGGGTCATCTTCATATTTTCTGGGATGGAGACGACGCATATCAGCATTTAAGGAAGAGTTACTTCATTAGACTCTTCTGGTCAAGGACAACATGACACCTAAAACTTTGAACATAACACGAGGAAACATGGACAAAACTGAACAAGAACCACATTCGAAGACTGAAACATCTGAATGACTCTGCAACCCAGGAATCCACTACTCAGTTATCATCGCTAAATGATCGGTTTGGTATCGACGTTACATACTTTATTATTTTTTTTTTAAAGAAAAAGAAGCTGATTTTAGTTTGTTTTTTTTTTTTTTTTTTTTTTTTTTTTTTTTTTTTTTTCTTCCTTCAAAACATTCCAGTACATTGTGCAGAAAGTTGGAGATGAAGCCGTAGTACGTACATGTAGCATTCTACTGGATCGAACTTGCAGAGTGTGGTTTCCTCCAATCTGGGCCGCGCGTTTATATAAACATACACGGCGCAGATCGACTGGAGGAGATTGCACTATGTAGGCTCCGGTGTAATGTGATATGTATGTACTACGGCTTTACAAATTTTGGAAGCATGTAAGGATATATATCTGATACCTATCGTATATACTAAAAATACTCTAGCACAATTGTAACTGCAGTTTCACAGAACTCTAAATGCTTAATGAACACTCTTGCAGGTACCACCCGTATTCACACTCAGACCTGAGTTTAGTCATTTCCCGATACGAGATTGGGGACGGGTTCTATAAACAAACAAACAAACAAACAACCCCCGGATCACACACTGATCCAACAATTGCAATTATCTTAAAGTTAAGCGATAAATTGTCATTCGATTAACGTCTTTCATAAAGCTGTTTAATGCAGTTTTCTAAAAGTTAGTAGGACAATAAAGACAGTAATTTAACAATACAGCGGATAGTTATTGAGGTGAGTTAAGGTGAGGGGAGGAGAGAGCGAGGTAACTAAGGAAGGTACTAGTCGGTAACCACGCTAATTGAGGAGACTTGTCAGCTACACGACGTATCAATGACACTAAGCCCTGTTAGGGAGGGAGGCGAGTGTGATTGTAATTCTGGGAGGGTATCTAGCTACTTAGGGGCCCTGTTACTGACAAAACCAAACCACCAGTAAATTGGAGTAACTCTTCACACCTCCTACTCAACCCTCACTTTCCTTTCTTCTAGTTCTCTTCTTCGTCTCATCGGTACACTTTCTCTAGTCCTCTCTCTTTTATTTGTAATTTGCCTTTTTTTTCCTTTTTTTCCCACAACTAGTCATTTTGGTGAACGTTATTTTTCGTTTTCTAAGTTTACTTTGTCCTATATTTT